AGTTTATAGAAATTTTTATGGTATATTACAAACACCTTAAAGTATAAATTAAAAAGGTGTCTGCAGACACCTGTCTCTGTATTAAACAAAAGTAAAACAAGATAGGAAAAAGTGATCATAATTACCTCTGTGATTAAGGTATTTTGACTACTAATTTGTAGCCAATTGCAAAACATTTTATGAATTATAACTAATGTTATTTAAAAAAAAATGAACCAAATTGTTTTACTAGTAGTAACAATTTTTTTTTAAGTGAAGAGAGTAGCAGCAAAAAGGGAAGTAGCAAAAAAATTGAATTGGACAGGGCAAGGTGATCTTCAAAAAAAGTCTTTCCGAATTATTAAATTTTGTTAAGTTATTGAAAGTAAGTTAATAAATATAATAATGAATAAATGTATGTATTTAAAATTGTCTTTCATTATTTTCTTCACTTTATTGTCATTAAATTTATATATGTGTGTTTCTATGAGTGTGTGTGTGTGTTTATATATATATATATATATATATATATATATATATATATATATATATATATATATATATATATATATTATATATATATATATATATATATATATATATATATATATATATATATATATATATATATATATATATAACCCGGTGGGAAGCGAGCTAGCGATTAGCTAGCGACTAGCTAGCTTTATAGCGATTTTCGAGCGATTTTTTTTTCTTATTTAATTCTTTCCTTATGTCTTTAACATCATTGAAAATTCGATTTTTAGTGTTGGATCTATTATAATTATGAAAATAATTGAATTTTAAACATTGTAACGATATATCGCTAGCTATTTATCGCAGTTTTTTAGTCAGCGATTTTAATACGATATGACACTAGCTACATATCGCATTTGTTTAGCTGGCAACTAGATAGCGATATATCTATAGCTATTCGATAACTACATATCGCAGCTTCTTAGCTATCGATTTAATTACGATTAATCGCTAGTTACGTATCGTAGCTTTGTAGCTAGTTACAAGATAGCCACAAATCGATAGCTAGTTGATAGCTACATATCGGATTTTTTTAGACACAACGCAGTTTTATAGACAGCGATTTTATTACGATATGACGCTAGCTACATATCACATTTATTTAGCTGGCAACTAGATAGCGATGTATCTATAGCTATTCGATAGCTACATATCACAACTTCTTAGCTATCAATTTAATTACGATTAATCGCTAGTTACGTATCGTAGCTTTGTGGCTAGTTACAAGATAGCCACAAATCGATAGCTAGTTGATAGCTACATATCGCAGTTTTTAGATAGCGATTTTATTACGATTTATCACTAGTTACATATTGTAGCTTTGTAGCTAGCTACAAGTTAGCCACAAATCGATAGCTACTTGCTAGCTATATAATGCAGTATTATTGACAATGATTTTATTACGATTTTATTACGATTTATCGCTGCATATTTGAATGCATAGTCTTTAGCTACATATTAGGGCTTTTAAGCTATCTATATTTTAGCACGAAATGTCGATAGTTTTTTAAACAGTTGTAGTTTATGCGCACTGTTCCAGATGTATGGAAATAAAATTCTGGTCAGATGGTAGATGAGCGTAGTAAGTTTTAACTATAAATAATAATATTTTATTTAGTAAAGTTTAACTATGAATAATAATATTGTATTTAGTAAATTAAAAACACCGATGGTGTTTTTAATTTACTAAATATAATATTATTATTTGTAATTAAACTTAGATGGTGTTTTTAATTTACTAAATACAATCCCGTCATATATATATATATATATATATATATATATATATATATATATATATATATATATATATATATATATATATATATATATATATATATATATATATATATATATATATATATATATATATATACATATATATATATATATATATATATATATATATATATATATACATACATATATATATATATATATATATATATATATATATATCATATATATATATATATATATATATATATATATATATATATATATATATATATATATATATATATATATATATATATATATATATATATATATATATATATATATATATATATATATATATATATATATAATTTTAATGCAAGACCGGAATTTTTTTATTTACTTTTAATTTATTATTTGATAGACTGACTGCCCAAACCAAACCTTCAGTCGATGTAGCAGCACTTCTTTGCGAGTCAGGCTATTTGTCAGTCAGGCTATAAGGTAGTCGATATAGCAACACTCGCACATGATTTACACTAAAAAAAAATAAAAATAAAAACATTTTATTGAAAAAATAAAATAAAAACATTTAATTGACCAGAAAAACTTCTTAAAGTTTTTCTGGTCAATTAAATTTGCGTTTTTGCGGTTTTTAAAAAAAATAATTAAGTTAATGGTTTTAACTTTATGACAAAACGGAAATGTTGGATGAATGTCAAAAGTAATTAAAAGTGACGTAACTTGTTGTCTAAAGAATTATTTTTTACTTTCCGTACTCTCAAAGCCAACAATTTATAGAACTCTCTCTCTCTCTCTCTCTCTCTCTCTCTCTCTCTCTCTCTCTCTCTCTCTCTCTCTCTATATATATATATATATATATATATATATATATATATATATATATATATATATATATATATATATATATATATATATATATATATATATATATATATATATATATATATATATATATATATATATATATATATATATATATATATATATATATATATATATATATATATATATATATATATATATATATATATATATATATATATAGCTATATCTGTAAAAAAAGTTTAAAAAACTATATAAACTTTAATTTTTATAATACAGTTGGGTTATTTCTATATTATAATAAAGTTTAAAAAATCTAAATACTTTTGTTTTCTCGATTAAAAACGCATTAACGCGTGTCATGAAATTGCTGTCAAGAAGTTTTAATTAACATACTTTAGTATACCGCATTACGCAATACCAGTTATGCAACTAATGATTTTTGGCAATATTTATATTAAATATAAGAAATTTACTATACATAACCAACAATTTTATCGATATTGCTTTTTTCGCACTATCACTCTACTATTCATATTGTTTTAAAAATATCAATATCGATATAAAAAATGGCATGTAAAAGAACTAAAGATGAACCTTCGGAATGCAACAGCTTTCTTCAAAGCTCTAAACGGATGGGCCAAGTTGCAACGGTAATTACATTTCATTTATTTGATCTCTATGTAGGACTGCAATAATTTAACTCGCATTTTCCTCTTTTATTTTATTTTTTATTATGTTACCGTAAACCTTTACTTTGAGTTACTTACTTTGAGTTACTTACTTTGAGTTGGGTTACTTTGAGCGTTTTTGAGATATTTTTACTTGCTTTTTCCTCACTATAGGCAATATTTAAAATTTAACAAAATGAATATAGGGGCTAAGGTTGACTCATACATAATTTAAATTCAAAATATTATTTAAATAATATTAATTTAAACAGTTTAATATTAATTTAAACAGTCATTTAAAGTCCTTTTAAAATCATTTTCTTGTTATACGATATTTATGTTTTATAAAATGAGTTTTTAAAATCATTTTATTATTTTCAAAAACCCTTTTTTGCGTTACCATTAAATAAAATGTTTTAAAAAAGTTGTCACAGACTTATTATGTCAAATGTTGGTTGTTTCCTAATTATTGAAATTCCATTTACTATAAAATTTTTGGTATTACATATTTAGTTTTAAATTACGGTCTTGTTTAAACGCATCAACGTTTTTGCTTTTGTATAAAACCAAAAACGTTAATGCGATTCTTAAAAACGTTAAATTGCTGAAAACCTCAAAAATCATCCAATAAAAAGTCTATATCAATTTGATTACTACATGTCGCAGCTTTTTTTTAGCTATCTATATTTTAGCACGGAATGTCGATAGTTTTTTATACAGTTGTAGTTTCGGCCCACCTTCGAATGGGAGTATTTTTAAACTAACTCAATAAATTATTTTTGTTGTAATCAATGCACATAAAATGTGTTGAGTATTTAACTTAGGTAAAGTTGAGTTGATTATGAGCTGTATTTATTATGATTTCTTTTGTCCTTTTTTACTAACAGATTTTTGTATATGTCAAGGATTAACCTTTTTTGGATATTTCCAGAATTCTGGAAATTTTTTGTAACTTTTTTTTTGCTGAATATCTAAAAGATTTTCTATGCTTAAAAGTTTAAATACATCTATTTGTTTTATAAGCGTTTTCACTCATCACTCATAAAAAAATAAAGATAAGTTTGAAAAAAAAAAAAAAGAAAAAGCTCAGCTATAAGTGTTAGATCTCCTATGGAGAGCTCTAATATTCTCGCCAACCCGTTTTATGTCTTTATTATTCTGATTTATACTAAAAGGAAAGCATGGCGTGTTCCGCCATTTTTGATAATATAAACAACTATTCAGTCTAGATAATCAAAGCAATTACAGGGAACCAACATAAGGTGCCGAAACTTTTATTTATATCTTAATTGGAAGTTCATAATAAAATAACTCTTTTGATAAATTAAAACATGGATATGCAACTAAAATCGATTAAATAATCAAGAAGGATGCATAAAATGTATGCATCAAAAATTATAGAAGAAACGAGTATCTTATTAGAAAAGGAACTTGAGTCTAGCGAAAATCGTGAAGATGTGGAAACTGACTTAAATACGAACTTGGAGCTGTTGAACATAAAAATGAAAGTTATAGAAAATCTTAACGATAAAATAAGTGAGTTGTTGGAAGATGATGATGAGATTTTCACGGATATGAACGAATCTGGAGACTTTCAAAGGTACATTTTAAAAACCACGCATCGAAAAGTATCTTAAACAAAATCTTAATGAATCTTCATTCCATATTGAGAAACCAGCTTCCAAACCTAAATATTCAATCTCTGCCAAACTGCCCAAGCTGACACTTCCCAAGTATAGTGGCGATCCAATGACCTTTCAATCATTTTGGGACAGTTTTGATAGTGCTATCCATTCAAACCAAGTATTAAATGACATTTCTAAATTCAATTACCTCAAAAGTCTCTTAGAAGGAAATGCGAGTCTTTCAATCCAAGGTTTAGCCATAATAGGTGAAAATTATAGAACTGCAATTAAAATTCTTAAAGAAAGATTTGGAGACGAACAAGTGATAATAAGCGCTCACATGGATGCTCTTCTCAACATTCAACCTACTCAAAGTAATAAAGTATCTGAAATCCGAACAATCTTCGACTTAGTCGAAATTCATACTAAAAACTTAGAACTCTTAAATGTTAACTCAGAGGATTTTGGTCCAGTACTTGTATCATTAGTAATGAGTAAATTGCCTAAAGACTTTAAACTCGACATTACACGAAAGATGCCTCAAGGAAAGTGGAAAATAATAGACCTTATGAACTGCTTCAGAGAGGAACTTATAGCTCGTGAGCGTTGTATATCTATGGAAAAAGGAATGAGTAACTTAGACATAAATCAAGATCATTTTCCAAAATACATATCAACATTGAACTCTCAACAAAAACATGTAAAACCAAGAGAGTGGCAACCCAAATCAGTTAAGCTCATTTCTTGTTCATTTTGTAAAGGTAAGCATCCAAGTAATCGGTGTAATGTTGTTACAGATGTTGTTGCAAGAAAACGTATTATTCAAACCAAAAATAAATGCTATAACTGTTTAAAATCAAACAGTTATAGCATTTATTTTTGTTATTATTTCGAATAACAAAAAATTGTTATTCGAAAAATATTTGTTTTCAGTGTAATGGTAAGCATCATATTTCAATTTGTGATAAAAAAAACAATGCTGGAGCTTATGTAAACTCAAATTCAGATAAAACCATACCAGACACCTCAGTCAATGTTGTTGGTTGTCAAGATAATATTCTCCTACAAACTGCAAATGCTGAAATATCAGACACAAGCAACTCAATAAAGAAAACTAAAATTGTTGCAAGAGTGTTATTTGATAATTGCTCTCAAAAGTCCTTTGTGACATCTGATGTAAGAAAGAAGTTGAATCTCAAAACTATTCGAAACGAAATTCTAAATGTAAAAGTGTTTGGAGAAAGCTGTGAAAAACCTCGAAAATTTGACCTTGTCAGTATTAAAATTAAAAACATCCAAACCAATCATTATTCTACAATCGAAGCATATGTTACACCAATCATATGCTCTCCTATTATCAATCAACGAATCGACCTTGCAAAATTGCAGCACACAGAATTAGCCAATATACCGATAGCTGATGATTTAAAAGATGGAAAAGAAATTAACATATTAATAGGTGCAAATTACTACTGGAACTTTGTAACAGGACAATTAATTAGAGCAAACCAATCACTAACCGCAGTAAACACAATTCTTGGTTGGACTCTTAATGGAAATGTTAAATCAATTAATTCTGCTTCTGTAAATGTAGCATATGTTCTTCATACATCTTCTGAACCAATCTTAGTTAATTCTGACGATCTTGGCAGTCTTGGTAAATTCTGGGAATTAGAAGATATTAATGAAATAAACACAACCTTTGACTTAAAAAATTTCTATGACAAAATCCAGTTTAATGGTAAGAGATATTCCGTACCTCTACCTTGGAAACAAGAACGCAAACAGATTCCAGATAATTATGAGAAAAGCAAACTCAGATTGCTATCAACTTACAATCGTCTCAAGAAAAATCCAAACTTATTGCAACAGTACAATGAGATTATACGTCAGCAGGAACATGAAGGAATTATAGAAAGAATCCCCGATTTTCCACCACTCGTAGGATAAGTCCATTATCTTCAGCATCACGCAGTAATCAAAGAGGAAATGTCTACCACAAAATTACGAATTGTCTTTGATGCATCGTCAAATAGTCCTTCATTAAACGATTGTTTGGAAAAGGGTCCTTGCCTGCTTCCCATGTTAATTGATATTCTTATAAGATTTGGGACTTACAAAATAGCAGTAGCTAGTGATATCGAAAAAGCATTTCTCAACATTGCTGTAAACAAAAATGATCGTGACTTTTTGAGATTCTTGTGGTTCCACAATGTAAACAACAGCAATCCAAAAGTTATCTCTTATCGCTATAGTAGAGTACTATTTGGTATGAACTCGTCACAATTCTTATTATTAGTATCTATCATGAAACATTTATATCAATACAAACATTGCGATCCAGAATTTGTGAACAATTTCTTAATAAATTTATATGTTGACGATAGCATTGCAGGAGGAGATACATCAAATGAGGGGCCATCCATAAAGTACGTACGCATGTATGGGGGGAGGGGGGGTTATCCTGAAACGTACGAATGCGTACAGGGGGGGGAGGGTGTTAACGACAGCGAGTACGTACGCGGTTTAACTATCTCTCCTAAACTTCTTTATAAAAACATTGAATTTCACGTGTTTTAATGTTTTTTTTATAAAAACATTGAATTTCACGTTAAAAAATCATAATATAATATATGTTATTTTTTTTTCTGACTTCAATTACAATTGTTTTTTTTTTTTTCTTTATAAGTAACGAGGAGAGAAAAAATCGAGCTATAATATCTCCAAATAATGTTTTCCATTTTTTGCAACATAATTCGACTGTAGCAAGATAAAAAGTAACAAAACTGTAATCAAAGAAAACTTCTTCTGAATTCTTTTTTTAATTACGAACCTGGTTTTTCCCATTTCTCTTAAAAGGTTAATATTTTGTTTTTAAAAAACAATAAAATAAAAAAGGTAATATTATTATTTTTTTTATCACTAAGTTAATATTAACATACATTAAGATTGCTAAGGACAGGCGAAGCGAAATGAACATACATGTGACAATGCATATGACAATCATTGTGATAATTGTAAAAAATAGTTACTTTAATTGCTGATGGAAACCAACACTTTTTATGATGCAATGTAACGGCAATTATCTTGAGTAAACTAAAACAAAAAAAACTTTTATGATTCCATTCGAAAACTCAATACGCCTCATTGGAAAAAAAACTTATTATTTATTATGACCAAGATGCCGCGCGGGAACGAGTAAAAATACCTTCAATTCCTTGAGTTATATAAAAAAGCATATTCAACACTTGAAAAACAAAAGCAGTATCAGCAAGCACAAGAGTTGTGGAAAATAGTAAAAAACAATGAATCCTTGTATGAAAAAAAAATAAATGAGTTAAAAGAGAAAGTAACAAAGTCGAAAGTATCACTTATGTCATTTTGGGGAAATACCATTTCACCACCTAGCAAAAAGAAAAAAGATATCCATCCAGCGCCGTCTTCGTCAAATGAAACACGAAGTTTCCTAAATGCAACTACGACAAAGCCTGCAAGGATTGAAATTAGTAAGCTAATTTCTGTAATATTTTAAAAACTTTTTCTCTCTTGTGATTTTCTATACATTAGGCCGGGTGAATAAAAAAGAGCAATTGCTTTTTCTCAGTAACTGTTCAGCTTTGCGTGAATAAAAATTTGACCAAGATTGCTCAAATTTTTATTCACGTAAAGCTGAACAATTTACTCCAACAACGCTCAACTTTACGTAAATAGAAATTTGAGGATAATTGCTCAATTTTTTATTCACGTAAAACTGAACAATTACTGAGTAAAAGCAATTGCTCTTTTTTATTCACCCGGCCTACTGAGTTTAACTGTATTGTAAATCAAACTACATCGTACGACCTTAGAGCAGTCACAGAAATTTATAATGTTGACCACTAGACCTATTTTTCTATATCCAAAATAAATTGATTAGTAGTAATTGTCAAGAATTTATAATAGCTTATTTTTTGGCATTTTTTAATTTAGATTTAACAGACAACAAAAAAGAAAGAGAAAATCCGGCACAAGTTAGGAGTCGAAAGAAAATCTCAGATCTTGAATCACAACGTGCATCCTTGATAGTCGTACGTGATTCTGGTTTATCTACCGTAACAAAGGAACAAATAAACACTGTGAAAGAAACCATAAGAAAAGAAAAAACAAAATTGGACAGGTAAGATAATTTAGTTATGTATTTCTTTATTTGATATTTCATTTTAGAATGCTTAACTGTCAGGTTTCTAGTAAATATCAAGAGATATATGTTAAATAATTTATGCGTATAGAAAAGCGTCTTGGCTATAAAAACCAAACATTTTCAAAGACAGAAACTTTCATAATCTTATTGTAAATAATACTTTCTTATTTGAAATAAGAATTTGCGTACTTTTTCTTTTGCAACATTAGCCAAAAGTTGCGAAACCTTAAGTATAGAAGTTTTTATAACGGAATCAAAGCTTTACTGATATTTCGTTTTCAGATTGATTCGTGAATCAGCTCGTCAAAGAAAACGAAGACAAAAACTTAAAGAGAGCATCGAAACTGTGTGTCAGAACATCCCTGAAGCATCAAGTGCTTTGAAACAGTTTAGTCGAAACCATACTGGACGACCGCGTCTCGAAGTTGACCAACCAGAGCTTTTATCAACAATTATAAAAATTGTGCAAAATTTATCAGCAGCTGACGAACGTCGAAGAACAGAATGTCTCCGTAGCGTCTCCACTTTAGATGACCTTCAGGAAGAGTTGACAAAGATAGGCTTTACCTTGAGTAGGAGTGGTTTGTACCTTCGTCTTTTACCACGACGTGGAAACACTTCTGAAGGAAAAAAACATGTCAGCACAGTTCCAGTAAAGCTGTTACGTCCAGAAAACTCAATGCGAAAAAAAAATGACGATAGAATGTTTGCCAAATCATTCATTGACGACATGTTCGAAGTTTGCAAATTGTTTGGACCAAAAGCTGTGCTTTTCATTTCCAACGATGATAAAGCCAGGGTCCCATTGGGTATTGCTGCAGCAAGCCTTCAAGCGCCGTTGCTGATGCATATGGAATACAAGGTCAAACTCATGGATCACGATTTTGTCGTTAGCTCACAGCACAAATTGATCCCATCAGTGTATGGCGTATGCAAAGTTAACAATACTGGAAATGTATCATACAGTGGGGACACTTTCATACGCATAAGAAGTGCGAAACACGATACATCAAATGCTTTTACACATGCTTTTGATGTTAGAGAGCTTTTTAAAACCGAGTTGGTTAAACGTAGACCAATTATGTTAATGGAGACTGATGGAGCTCAGGATGAAGCACCACGTTTCCCTAAAACCGTAGCAACTGCTGTTGACCTCTTTCGCTTGCTTAATTTAGATGCCCTTCTTCATGGTGTGAATGCAGCTGGCCTTTCAGCCTTTAACCCCGTAGAACGAAGAATGGCACCTCTTTCTCGTGATTTGGCTGGAATAGTCCTTCCTCATGATTTTTTTGGCAATCACCTTGATTCTTCTGGAAAAACAATCGACTATGAATTGGAGGTAGAGAACTTTCAAAAAGCGGCTGACGTTTTATCCCAAGTTTGGGAGAAAACCGTCATTGACGGGTATCCTGTTCATTGCCAGGCTGTACCAGTTGGGAAAGCATATGAACCACCAATTCCAGATCCTGTTTGGGTAGACAAAAATTGTCAGCAATCGCGATACAGCCTACAAATCGTAAAATGCCAAGAGGAGTCATGAAACAAACTAGCTGAAAAACTTCCCCCAACGTTTCATTCCATTTCCGGCAATCTACGAATACTGCGAGAATGGTTACAATGGAACCGTCTCGATATTTTAAAAACGTATCAAAACAATCAACGTTTGCACCACTGACACATCGACTTTTGCTACATGATATACCTATAGAAGGATTAAAATACAAAATTATACCATTTGATCTGTATTGCCCATCGTTAAAGGAAAAGCTCTCAAACGGAATTTGCGACAAGTGCAATAAATACTGGCCAAGCGAGGCTGCAATGAAACGGCACAAGAAAGCACATACACAAAAAAAAACACGGTTGAAATGGAGAGTGAGGATAGTGTAAGTGACAGTGAATCTATTAATAAAAGTGAAGATATCAGTGAGGAGATTGATTATAAAAGTGTGGAAGCAGAGTTCATGCCTGTATTTGATAACATATTTGATTTATTTAAGTCACATTTGAGGAAATATGAAATATAAATACTCGCAACAAGAATTCTTTTTTAGAATATTTTTCTTTCTTTAACAAAAACTGGAAAGTTATTAAACAAATAACTTTCCGGTTTTTAATTAAGCACAGAGAAATTAACAAAATGTTTTTTTGTGTTTAATGTTTTGAAAAATTAATGCGTTGGGGAAGGAAGGGGAGGAGAGCCTGAACTTGTAATAAAAAATGCGTACGTACGCAGAAGGAGGGGGGGGGGGAGGTCGTTGAAAGCATACAAGTGCGTACAAGGGGGGAGAGGGGGTCCTAAATCAGTGGTTTTACTGCGTACGTACTTTATGGATGGCCCCTGAGGTACTCGAATTTTGCCTCAAAGCAAAATCACGTCTAAAGACAGCAGGGTTATACCTTAGAAAATAGCGTTCAAATAACAGTCGCCTTATATCAAATATATCATCTTTCAATCCACAAGATCACCCAAGTACGGAAAGTAAAATCCTAGACATCACATGGGACACCGGTCATGACAAATTGTCAATTAATCTAACTAAACAATATGAAGCTGGAACAAATAAAAGAGTCACAAAAAGAAATGTTCTAAAAATTATTGCATCTATATATGACCCAATCGGAATCATTTCTCCCTTAATTTTACCACTAAAGCTCATTTTTCAAAAAATATGCACTACAATAAAAGATTGGGACAAGGAGCTAAATGACGAGTTAAAAAATGAGTGGAATCAGTTAATGCAGTTATTATCTTGTAATCTTGTGTATGAGTGGCATCGCTATTTCTTTAAAGAACATTTAATAAAAAACTTAACTAACATAACTATACATGGCTTTTGTGATGCCAGCAAAAGTGCATACGCAGCTGTAGTTTTTATAACTGCCCAAACTCCTGATAAACAGATTCTAGGTAGACTTATTGCCAGCAAAACAAAGATCTCTCCGCTAAAACCTATATCCATTCCTAAATTGGAACTGTCTTCTTGTCTACTGCTATCTTCACTTATGGCATGTGTAATTGTGTCTTTAAATAGTACCGTTAAAATAGAGAATATTTACTGTTGGAGCGATGCAATGGATGCTTTATGCTGATAAAGAATAGTTCTGCAAACAGAAACCAATTCATTACAAATAGAATAACGAAAATAAAGAAAAACATTCCACCTAATCACTGGAGATTCTGCCCTGGTAAAATCAATCCAGCGGATCTTCCCTCAAGGGGCCTCTCAATCCTTAAATCTGGTAATTGGTTTGAAAATTGGATGGATGGACCTGAGTTTCTTTATCAAGATCTCTCATATTGGCCGTCAGAACCATCCGATATATTCAACAAAAGTAAAACTGACGAAATATCAAATCTTAGCGTGGTCGTAAATGTAAACCCTACGAAATTCAGCACAGAAAATAGTGAAGTAAAAGAAGCTCTTGAAACCAACAGCTTAAATATGCGTAATGTAATCAACGTTGAGCAATTCAGTTCGTTGCACAAACTTTTTAAAGTTACAGCTTATGTGTTAAAATTTATAATTAGTCTTAAGCATCTTATAAATAAAGCCAATAATCAGACAAAATCTCTTTGCATTGCGGATATTCGAAAAGCTGAAATTCTTTGGATCCGAACCTACCAGTGTGACCTTTCTAACAAAGTGGAAATTCTGAACAACACTTTTGGTCTCTTCGTTGACGAGGATAAAGTAGTTCGTTGTAAAGGACGGTTACAAAATTCAATACTGCCTTATAATGCTAAACACCCAATTTTGCTACCAAGTGAATCTTATTTGTCAGAATTATTAATATTTCAGGCTCACAAACGAACTCTACATGCAGGTGTAAAGGAAACTCTCTGCCAAATAAGGTCAAAATACTGGATCCTACGAGGTCGTAAGCTTGTACGCTCATTGATAAACAAATGTTCATTCTGTAAAAGATTGTTTGGGAAGGCTTTTACATCTAAAGTGTCACCACCGTTGCCTTACTATCGTGTCACTGCAAGTTTTCCTTTCCAGCATACTGGAGTTGATTATTTAGGACCATTGCACGTTAAACCGATATTCGATGACAATTCTACTGAAATGTATCCCGTGCACGTAGTGTTATTTACCTGCGCCACCACCAGAGCCATTCACCTGGACTTAGTACCTGACTTATCTGCGAAATCATTTATTCTATGCTTAAATCTTATAATATCAGACAATGCCACATGTTTTAAGAATGAAGAAGTTAAATTAAGCGAGGAGCTTTTGTTGTTGGGAATCGATTGGAAATATATTATTGAAGCTGCTCCCTGGTGGGGTGGTTTTTGGGAACGTCTAGTGCAATCGGTCAAAAAACCGCTACTCAAGGTTGTGTTTAGAAGTAGCATCAGATATGACGAGCTGGAAACAATTCTTTGTGAAATAGAGGGTCTTCTCAACTCAAGACCAATAACATACGCTTACCATGAAGACACTGAAGAAGTTCTAACCCCTTCCCATTTGATGCACGGTCGAAGACTTATTTCACCTAACGAAACTAAAGGGGCAGATCTTGACAAGCTTGAAAGTAAGATTCAGTTAACTAAACGAATGAAATATTTAAAACTGATACGTGATCATTTTTGGGTAAGATTTACAAGTGAATATCTAGTTAATCTTAGAGAATTCCACAAGCAGGGATCCAGTAAGAGTCAATCGATCGAACTGGGATAAATTGTTGTTATTCACTCTGATATTAAAAGGTACAAATGGCGATTAGGAAAAGTAGTGTCACTGATTACGGGAAGCGATAACATAGTTCGTTCTGCAATAGTAAAAGTCTTAACAGATAAAACAAACAAACAAAATTATATTAAGCGTCCTATCGAAAAGCTATACCCTATAGAAGTCAAGTCAGTCGAAACAGTAACTGATACAGAGCTAAACGCCAGCAACGATGCTGTAGATGAAAGTAACGATTTTTCTGATACAAAATACGAAAGACCTGTACGAATAGCATCAAGAAACGGAATACTAATAAGACGCCTAATGGGACAATTTTAATTTTGTATCTAATTTGTTTTATAGTTTGTTGAACGTTTTGTTCTAGGGGGGATTGTGTTAGATCTCTCCGATGGAAAGCTCTAATATTCTCGCCAACCCGTTTTATGTCTTTATTATTCTGATTTATACTAAAAGAAAAGCATGGCGTGTTCCGCCATTTTTGATAATATAAACAACTATTCAGTCTAGATAATCAAAGCACACAGGGAACCAACAATAAGCAAAAATAAGAGAAAATTATTTTCCTCTTATTTTTGAGAAAACATTTTCCGGGTATTTTACCCAAACAAATTTCCGTATTTTTAAAATATTGCCTGGAAGATCTATGATATGTATATTGTATAAAGCTATGATTGTATGTATATTAAAAAAATTATTTTTTTAGCATATTCATACTGCAGAATCAGAAGTAGAAAGTGATTTTATTACATAAAAAAAAAAAAAAACACAAGAAAACTCCTTTAAGTCAATAAAACAGAAAGAGAGAAAAAAAAATTTATTTTTGAAGAACCTCCTTTACCATCATTACCATTGTGGGAGCCACCAAAGCTTCTTGATTCCGATTCAGTATACATTTTATCCCATTCTTAAAAATAACTTTTTTTGTTTCATTTTTATGGTTTATTTGCTTTTTTTAGTTACCATTTTTAAATTAAAAAAAAAAAAGTATAATATAATCAGAATATTGTGAATGTATTTATAATCATTGTTATTCTTTTTTAGAACTTTTTGTCCGTCTCTGCCTCAATGGATCAAATAGATGACTTGCCAGTTACACAGATTGTGTTTCCATCAGAAATGCAGTCTGTTTCACAAGTTCAACCGTTACTGCATTCATCTTCTTCTTTTTCTTTACCATCTCAAAAAACTGGGATAGACCAAATTAATAACTTTATTCGGAAAGCAAATGTTGAACCCAATACTGTTGAAGGCATTCAATTTATAGTGAAATCCGTGTACAGAAAACTTTGTGGGTTGGAAACAGAAATGCGTTCCATGCGTTCAATTTTAGACACTAATCATGGTAATAAAGAAAATATTAATATAGATTATTTACCAGCTAATTCAGTTAAAGAGTTTGACTCACTAGAAAATAAAATAATTAACTCTAATGATAAAGATATCATTTGCAGAAAGTTAAAGCAAATTGGTGGGAGAAATGTAAGTGACTTTTTAAAAAATGCTTTAAAAACTTGTTTAACAGACAAGCTGTGCTGCAGCATTAATCGAACTGGTGCAGATAAAAGCGTAAATTTATAGGACCATTCGAAAGTTTGATTTTTGATGCAGCTTACTGTTTATTTCCAACTGCCACTGAATCCAGTATGACTACAATAATTGCAAAACACTTAAAAAAAGTCTAAAGATCGTTATTTTGCTGCAAGAAAGAGAAATTCTTCTTTAACAAGTGATATACAAATACACAGTCCTGTTAGAAAAAAAATTTAAACACTGACTCATGTAGTGATTCTAGTTAACTTATTTTTTTTTGTTTATTTATTCTATTATTTTTTATTGACTTTTTTTTTTTAGATATTTTATTTGTTACAACTTTTTTAGCAATTATTTTCGAAAATTGATAAAGATTAAAAAAAAAACTAAAATTTGACAGAAATTTTTTTCTATTATCTTTTTAAATATCTTTTGAAATTATTAATTTAATTTAGGCAAAATCATTTAGTTGTTAATTACTTTTTATTTTTCAAAAGTAACTAATAACAATGTAGAAGAAACAAAAACTGAAAATAATTTTACAAATTATCCAGAGTAAAAAAAAAGAATTTTACATTTCAAAAAAAATTTATATATATTGCCAGTAGAAAGAATATAGTTTTTTAATTTAGTTTTAAAAACGGAAAACGAAATTGACAAATCAAAATTTGGAACAACAATTTTGTTCCATAAATACGGTGCTCTATAGTTTATGCAAAATTGATTAAACTTTGTTTGACAAAAGGGTTCAATTAATAAAGTATTATTTCGTAAAGCATATTTGTTTATAGCTTTATAAGTAAAAAGATCTTTGAAATTGGACAATGGTCGTTCACTTTTACAACGAAACATAAAACATAAAATATTATAGACATTGAGTTCGTAAACGTTAAGTGCTTTAACGTTTTTAAATAAAATATTTGAATGAGAAAAACGATTTTCGAAACATATTAAACGCATTGCGTGTTTCTGACGATGGTAAAGACTTCGTAACTTACTTTTAGAGTTACTTCCCCAAACAATATTTGCATAATTTATATAGCTATGAATAAACGAGTAGTAGAGTTGCATTAAATTTTGTTTACTTAGATAGTATCTGACCTTATATAGAATTCCAATACTTTTAGCCAATTTAGTAGAAATATAGTCGATATGATACTTCCATGTAATATTTTCATCAATGTAAATGCCTAAAAATCTTGTGACCGACTCCTTTTTTATTTCAATTTTATCAATAAAAAGTTTAGGCAATTTATTTGGTAAAAAACGCTTTTTAGTAAGAGCGTGGAAAAGGATCCACTTTGTTTTGTCAATGTTTAAAGTTAACTTGTTGCACTTAAACCAGTTGGAGATCTGATTGAGTTCATTATTCATATTTGAAAAAAGCTCATAAATGCTACTGTTTGATAGAAATAAATTAGTATCGTCCGCAAAATTTATACTCATAAGGTTAGAAGCTTTATTTAAATCATTTATATAAACTAAAAACAAAAGTGGGCCTAGAATAGAACCCTGTGGAACACCACATTTTATGTCAATTAATTTTTCATTTTGAAAATAATCTCCATAGAAAACAAATTGTTTTCTATTTTCCAAGTAACTTTGATACCATTTTATTAATTTGCCATTAATTCCGTAAAATTTGAGTTTTTTAAGTAGAATTTTGTGATCGACCGTGTCGAATGCTTTTGATAGGTCAATGAAAATACCTAATGTATATTGTGATCTACCAAATGAATCGGAGATTTCACGAATGAACTGTGTAATGGCTTGTTCAGTTGAACAATTTTTTTTAAAACCGAATTGATTTTTATATAGAGGTTTATTTAGATTAAGGTAATTGTATGTTCTATTGTATATAATTCTTTCTAAAATTTTTGAGAAAGTTGAAAGAACTGAGATAGGGCGATAATTACTAATATTTGATTTTTTTCCGTTTTTGTATATAGGAGTTACTTTAGCTATTTTTAATTGGTCGGGGAATACACCTTGCTGTATAGATGCCCTAAAGACTTTATAAAGAATACACTTTAAGTTTTCAAAGCAATCTATGACTATGTTGCCATTTATTTCGTCCGCACCCGTAGCTTTGTTTCTTTTGAGAGATTTGTAAGCTCTCTCAAACTCATCAAAAGATAAGTCAGAATGTAAATTATCTATAAAAAGCGAATTATTTATAGGCTCTAGGAAATCACTGAATTTTTTTTCTGTAATAGGGATCTTGTTTGCCAATTTGGTTCCTATGTCAATGAAATATTTATTAAACTCGTTTGCAATTTCGTTTGATTCATATATATTTGTTTTATTTATTTTAATTACTTTAGGAAGGGAGTTTGAATTTGTTTTTTGTTTTCCTGTTATTTCTTTCAACGTTCTCCAAGTATTTTTTGAGTCGTTTTTAAATTTACTAATTAAGTTTGAATAATAATTTTTTTTTAATTTTTTACGAATTTTTTCAAATAAATGTTGGTAATTTTTATATTTTTGTTGGTTTTCATTTGATTTTGTTTTTAGATATTTTATAAATAGTTTCTGTTTTATTTTAGAGGATTTTCTAAGTCCTTTGGTAATCCATGGATTATTTAAGGTTTTTATTTTTGTTATTTTTTCACAAAGTGGAAAGTTTGCATCGTATATTGAGAAGAACGTAACAAAGAATTTATTATATATTGTATTTGCGTCTTCATTAAAGTTAATATGTTTCCAATGCAGAAGTGATAATTGATATTGGAAGGATTTTATATTGCTCTCATTGAAGACACGTTTTTTTATTATATTTTGTTTTTCGGGGTTATTAGAGGATACAGTATGGATTGTTAGAAAAATGGGGAAATGATCGGATATGTCGGTTTTTATAATTCCTTTTTTTAATTTTCTATTATAAATATCTGTTGTAAAAATAATATCAATCAACGTAGTTGAAGTTTTGGTTTTTCTAGTAGGGCGATTAATTAAAGTAACAGCTCCTGCCATAAGTATTTCATCATAAAAACTTTTTATTTTTTTATCTTTATTATAAATTAAACAGTTCATGTTGAAATCTCCAATTATAAAAGTAATTTTGTTTTCTTTGCTACCTTTGTGAATGATATTTTGCTGTAAAAAGAAACTAAGATTTTCAGACGCACCATCAGGAGGTCTATAACAGCAGCTTAATAGAATATTATTTTTACGATTTCTTTATCACCGTCAGAAACGCACATATCATTCCTAATTACGATTTCTTTATCACCGTCAGAAACGCACATATCATTCCTAATGTTATGCGCAATGTGTTCCTTAACGTAAATCAGAACTCCTCCACCGCGTTTATTTGTTTTTCTTTCTGAAAAAATTGTTTTAAAACCTGGAAGATGGAAAATAGAATTATTTTTAAAATCATTCGAAGAAATCCACGTTTCTGTTAAGCAAATTATGTTAAAAATATTTTCAGTTTCATCTAAAAAATCGCAAAACTTTTCAAAATTTGTATTTAGACTTCTAATATTAATGTGAAGGATTTCTAATATTAATGTGAAGGATTCTGATTTTTTGATTTTCAGTGCCATTTTTATTAAGAAATTCTTTTAACTCGTTGGGATAAAAATAAGAACAACATGTGTTCACATCATTAAAAAAGTTGACATCTGGATCTGAATTAAAATTTGATTTTAAGTACTTATCATGAAAATTAAAAGTAATGGATTCGTAGTCATCCATTTTTGTTTTTAAGTTTAATTATAGAATATTAAAAGAATTCCTTTATAATAGGTCGCGCGTAATTAATTTATTGTAAACTACTTTAGCAAACTTACCTTTCGCTCTCAATTCTTTCGCTTCTTTGAAAAGCTTTCTGCGTAAATCCATTGTAAAACCGCTAAAGTCTTCGTTAACGTACAACCGTTCGTTCCATAGCTTCATCGTCGTATATTTGTTTAACACTAGGGCTTTGTCTTTGTAGTTTTGAAACCGAACAATTATGGATCTGTTTTTTCCGTTTTCTTTTCCAACTCGATGGGCTCTATCTATTAAAATTTTTTCTTGTATATTAAGCTTTGTATTGAGGAAGTCTTTGATTTTTTGCTCACTTTCTTCCCAAGTTTCATTAGCTTTATCTTTAATCCCAATAAATCTCAAGTTGATTCTACGACTTCTGTCTTCTAGTTCTGCTATTTTCTCTTTTATGTTATTAGTTCCATTTTCAATATTACTTTCATCTGGTGATTTTTTAGATTCTGTTTTTTTTAATTCTGTGAGTTCAATTATTATTTTATCATAGCTTTTACTTATAAATTCGACAACTTTTCTTTTAACATTTTATAATGGCTTTAACATTTATAACTTTTTATGGAAACAAGTATTAACATTTTGTATTTAATTTGTTACAAATGCAATCTTATTTTAATGGTTATAATTCACTCCCCTGAAAAATATAGCACGCGTTTCTTTGAGCATATCTTCTAACCTAGCCGAGATTTTCTAGCCAAATCGATGTCATTGTCGTAACGACTTAATGCTAGCTATTCGCTAGCTTATTTAGCTAGCGATCCTTGTGGCCATACCGCTGTCTTTATCGTAACGACTTGTCGCTAACTTGTTTAGCTAACGGATCGCTAGCTCATAAAGCTAGCGATCCTCGTGGCCAAATCGCTGTCTTTATCGTAGCAACTTAGTGCTAGCTATTCGCTATCTTATTTAGCTAGCGATCCTCGTGGCCATATCGCTGTCTTTATCGTAACGAATATCTCTAGCTATTCGCTAGCTTGTTTAGCTAGCGGATCGCTAGCTTTATAAGCTAGCGGATCGCTAGCTTATAAAGCTAGCGGTCCTCGTGGCTAAATCGCTGTCTTAATCGTAACGAATATCGCTAGCTATTCGCTAACTTGTTTAGCTAGCGGATCGCTAGCTTATAAAGCTAACGATCCTCGTGGCCAAATCGCTGTCTTAATCGTAACGAATATCGCTAGCTATTCGCTGCTTGTTTAGCTAGCGGATCGCTAGCTTATAAAGCTAACGATCCTCGTGGCCAAATCGCTGTCTTAATCGTAACGAATATTGCTAGCTATTTGCTAGCTTGTTTAGCT